TACTGTAAAAATTTTTGTTCTTAAATTACAAGGTGTTTATTTAATCGATCGTTCGTGCTAAAACGTTCCGTTTTTAAATTGTCGTTTTTAGTTGTTAAGGTTTTAATAGTTCTAATATTTTGGTTTCTGTGATCTCTAATTGTACTTCTCTTCCAAGAGGTGTTTTTTTTCGGTCACCGATTGATTTATGATTATCTTTTCTGAATACATCATCAATGCTCAAGTCACCACCATTAATGTACATATAATTTATGTAACAGTCTTTTCCGTCTTTCACCAGCCCAGTAGTCAGCACTTCTGTGTTGACATGAATTATCATTTATATTGTCATAATTATAAATTAACTGTTTACAAAACTTTGAATTTTTACATCGGATGACCGTGAGGGCATTCCGGTGTATTGCTGTCGCCTAGATTTCCATTACGTAACTTTCGTGTTGGGATTGTAACCGATCTATAAACATGATAAATACGCGGACATTATCGAGTGCAAAATAACATTCCTTATCGCTTGTTATAAATTCATTTTTTCAATGGATACTCCTCAAAATATTTTTTTTAGAACATAAATTAATAATATGAAAATGTTTTGTCGTTAGAAATATATATATAAGTAAAAAATCTTTAATATCTATGCACACGCACAGAAAATGTGTTGCAGAATATCTCAAGAACGTTTGCAATCTCCCATGCAGAGTTATCGGTCCTCGTTCTCTCTCAAGGACCGATAACTCGGCATGGGAGATTGAAAGTTTGGCGGGAAAATATGAATGCCTACTCAAATCCAATCTATTAGAAAAATCGAATTATTACAGAAGAGTGTCCACCATGCACTTGCACTGAACTATTAGAATAGAATGATATACAAATGGATGAAAATTATATATACATGTAACTGTAATATACAAATATTAATATAATATATAACAAGAAACCAGAGTATACTGATTTGTATCACTTCAATATCATATTTATTACTGTGAGGTTGAATTCCCTGTCATTTATTTATCATCCACGCACGAACTTGTCTAAGAAAAAAAATTATATCTGTACATTAACCTCACTTTCAGGTATAGAGATGTGATTTTTTTTTCTGAGACAAGTGCTTGTGACCATCCACAAGAACTTGCAGTCAACCGATGTTCAGTACTTCAGTACTTTGATTGAAATACTAATGCTTTTCTACCTCAGGAATAGATTACCTTAGCTATATTTGACAAAACATTTAGGAATTTTTGGTCCTCAATGCTCTTCAACTTTGTACTTTATTTGGCCTTTTTAACTTTTTTTAATTCGAGCGTCACTGATGAGTCTTTTGTAGACGAAACGCGCGTCTGGCGCAAATACAAAATTTCAATCCTGGTATCTATGATGAGTTTATTTGCATATTTTTGTGTAGATGAACTTTTGTCTGTGCCTTTTCGGGGAAAAAGTTTCCCCACCGGACACCCCTGAATGGATTTCGCTCTGCTCGCGAAGATTCTGCAATACTAAGTTATTGTATTTTCAGAATCTGTGTGAAACATGTGAAAGGTTCAGCTAGATGTAAAACCAGTACCATTTTCTCCGAAAAAGGCTTTTACCAAGTTGTTTTTCACTCGTTCCGTTGTTTGATAAAGTTTGATTTTGTCAGTTTTTATGGACTTTCCCGTTTTACAAGTTTGAGTTGGTATTTTTAAAAGTTTGAGCTACGTGTATCTGAGCCAATGCCAGAACCGATCGTTTCCAACGTGTATACCACGGAACAAGCTTTGGTCATCATTTTTGTCTTACAGGCACATGATACATGATCAAGGGACATACTCTTGTATAATTTTGCTACAAATCCACTTTTATGGCATATTGCCTACTAAGTACTTACAAAATAGTTACCCACCGGCTATATGTATCTGTGAATTTAAATGATGAATAATATAGTATATGTAAATTTATCCTTGTATTAAGGTTTATCAAACTAGTTAAGTCGACGCCTTAGTGTTTTATATAACCATTATATATATATTACATTTTCTTTACGTGTGTAATGTTCAATTTGCTTTCATACTTTGCAATCATTAATTTAACATTTCTTTAATACATTTTAACCGTTATGTGTATATTTAGTCCTTAGTAATAATCTTTTCTCGATAAAAGATAAGCTGTAAGTTATTCTTTTATTGTTAAATTCATTTTGTACTATAAAATCAGTCACACTATAAACTGTAACAACTTGTTTTTACTTCTATAAGAGTACTCTACGACCTTGACTACCCACGAGGGCCTCGCACGGTCAGAGAAACTACTACGGGTAACCTGTTTATTTCATCTCAGCTGACACTCTTTTCTTGACACTACAATAACAAAATCAAATGAATAATCATACTTATATTTGATGATGCTTGAAGTCGCTTTCCCTCTATATTACCCATTTACAAGTGACTGTCAATAATAAACCTAAATTCTCTACAGAACCCTATCATCATGTACAATGTATTTAGTATAAAGCTTTTGAACTTCATACAAATCTTTGGTTTTCTAAACATTATCTCTAAAACATGTTGAAACTATGCATTGGTTCAGTAAATGAATTCATCATAGATACAAGGATTAAAATTTTGTACGCCGACGCATGTTTAGTCTACAAAAGACTCATCAGTGATGCTCGAATCAAAAAAAGTAAAAGGCCAAATGAAGTACAAAGTTGGAGAGCATTAACACTTATCAAGCACTGAGTACACGAGCACTGTTTACCCACAATGTTTTGATCAGTGATTTTGTGCGGTATTTAATTTATTTTATTTATTTTATTTACAGTATCATCTTATATGCCAAAAAAAAAGACGATACCAAGAGAGAAAGCGAAAACAATAAGTTGAAGACAGAAAACATACTGGTCAACAGATAAAAAGACAAATTGACAAACATTAGTCCAGAAAAAACTACACGGAAAACTAAAGCCCCATAAACAATCCTCACATTAAAAAAAGGATTGAGCTCATGTGCCCCGGATGGAATATTCAATCTGTTGCTAATGCCATGTAAAAATCCAGTTATACGTTCACTGATGGCATAAGAGAGAGGTGGAGTAAACCAAAAGCCAAATACGATCAAAAGACAAACAACTGTATACAAAACTCAACACAGAAAACTAAGGACTGTGCAACAGGAACCCCTCTAAAAATCGGGGTTGACCATATGTGCTCCTTAAGGAACAAATATTATATACTCGTTATTCCGTTAGGAACAAATAGTAGAAATGATATTCCATAATATTTTTTTCCTATGGAACTAATATTATAAATGATCTTCTATTCCATGACAAGTACACGCTTGAGGATAAGTCTTATTCGGTTATGTCACATTCGAGGAAAAAAGGACGGGATTGTGGTTCGACAATTTGAACATATTCGTCGTCATCTGTGAAACAGATATTCAAGAACATCGAACAAACTAGAAATGGCGTCCTAAAAAATTCAAAGGGATTATTTCAACTTTTGACGAATCCAACCTAACCATTAAGGATCATTAGAGTTGGTTCAATAGCTTTCTCGATAGCAACATTTCTGTGTCAATGAAATCATGATCGGAATGCAAGCCCTTGTATATCGTTTTGACTTCGAGATATTTTCTCCATTTACAGTTGCTGCTGGAATACTGCTACACAAATATTGAAAATTCCCAATGAAAACTTGAAATCATCGCTTTTGTTCCAAAATTTAGTTCTCATTCGTCATTTATATATTCAAAAATTTTAAAAATGTATCGCCTTCTTTTTTGCATATTATATAATATTATCCTATACTAAATTGTTTTACCTCCCTGAATTAAATTAAAATACCGCACAAAATCACTGATAAGAAATTGTCGATAAGCGGTGCTTGTGTACTAAGTGCCTGATAAGTGTTGCTGAACTAATCCACGGTTTTAACATTTTTTCTTTTTTCATTGCATTTGAAAAGACCCTGTATCAAATCAACGATAAACGAATAAAGAAACAGATCGATATGCAAATGAGCACAACCGGTTTCCTCAGGAATGGCGAGCTTCTGTTGACATTAACCTCCACAATATGTATAGATGTGTTGTCATAAAAACAAATTTTGATGTCAGTTTAAGAGAAAGTTTTGTTTATATCAAAGTTTATTTTTACAAAGTGTAATTTGTTTAATCCTTAAACAAGATATCCATGATATCTATGTTTACCCTGTTGGTGAAACATAGACTATCTTCAATTTCTTTCATTTATGAACGAGGGAAGCTTTGCAAAGGGTACACTAGTTAAGTGTTGTGAATACTTACAAGAGAAGTGCGGAAGCAGGGTCGGTATTTAAATCAGATTGGTTCTGTTTGCACCTTTATAAAACTAAGTAAACCACAGACGCTTTTTGTTTGAAAAAGAGATATTTGTGTATTAATTCATTGCGTTTTGGTTCTTTTTATTATTCTTAACAGGTCCGAACGTTTAAATGTGTACGGCTTTCAAACGTTTGGTCTTAGGCGTGTCTGGTAGAATTTATTCAACATGCACGTATCTAGCAAAGTTAAATTCGTTTTGAATTGAATTTAGAAGTAATCATGTGTTTATCAACAAACTATACTCAGAATGCAATTGTATATTTCCTTGACACTGATTATGAATAACTATCGGAATTAATCGGAGAAAAAATGTAGAGAGATCACTGACTTAATTTTCTATTGTTTTATTCTTGCTATTGCACAAGTTCGTTTCTTCAAGTGCCGTTTATGGTGTTGTTGTTTGAAATAAATAAATATCATATGCTAATAAATAGCAAAACATAGCATACAAATCTATAATAGAAGAGAAAACTTTTGGATCCACCAGCTCCATACTTTAGAACCTGATGGTTTAAATGAAAAAGACGAGAAAAGATACAGGAAAGATAAAGAATAATTTTATTATGTAACATCGTCCTTAATATCTCTGTAATATTGGTCAATGGACGGTGCAAACTTACCTTACTTCAACAACATATTTCGTAATTAAATAAATAATATTGAACTTCATCCAAATTCAAAATTTATTTATTAAGCAGCAAAATTCAATGTACAATGAGCTGCAAAAGTTTCTTATTTGCATCCGATTTCACCTAGATAGATGCACGCTCGATGAAGCTGGTTTGTCTAGCGAAATATTGCGTTTATTTTTATCGCATTGTAATTATATTTAACATTTCAATATTTACATACTAAATAGTGTGTTAAAATTAAATTGTTAGGCAATTTTATACTTTGTCTCAAACTTAGCCCAACAATGTTAGATCTGCAAATTAGCGTAATCAAATGTTTGTTCTTCCCTCAGCGGAATTCGAACTTCTGTGAGATCGTGGCAACACCGCCTGCATTGTTTCCAGTGCCCTAGACAACTCGACCAACTAGGCGGTGTTGCCGTAGAAGTGAGAAGTAAAAGTACAGGTTCCAGCCAGGATCGGGGAGGAAGTAAAGAATTAGATCTACTATAACATTGTTAGGTTGATTTTCTAGGCACTTCATGAATATTCTAACGCCTTGTATTTCTTAATTGATAAGAAATCCGATGGACAAGGTATAATTTTCAGTTGTCACTACACATAGGTAGACATATCTGAATAATCATGTCTATCATCTATATATGTATATATATATTACACTAAATAAGGATTGAAATCCTTGTATGTTTTTTTTAATAAACTGTAATTAGTACCACCAAAAGCGCATACTTACGTAAGCAAAAACCAAGATGAAAATATAAATCTATTTAACACAATTGTGAGAGATTTATAAATGTACTTAACATAAGGTATTCTATAAATCAATACCTATTTACATTACAAATTTGGGAAAACCCTGGTAACTGTCAAGTCTCTTACATAATGTACATAATGATCAGAAGTAGGTGCAAATTCATTTAGGCTTTTTACAAAGAAAACCTACACGAATTGAAAACACGATTGAACGTGTTTTAACAAAAGGTGCATTAACGTATACTCAAGATGGAGACTCGTGTCTGCTTTGATAACATTTATGTTCAGTATGAATTGAAATAATGCCTTGTTGAATCATTATAGCCTGCGATCAAACCATTAATATGCCATATCCGCACAACCAGACGGATGTTCCAGAGTAAGAGAAATGCTTCGAGATTTTAAATAAAAAACACTTGGAAGTAACAATAATATATCTACAATGTCAAATTTCAGGTACAGATTTCGTCGAATGATATATATGTACACTTCAAATTAAAAAGTAAAATTCAACCACGAAGAGTTTTTTTTTTTAGTTCTTGAGAAATCGAGTTATAAGTAGTTGCAACCCGTTTTGCATAATATAATTGGTCTTTGCAGAGGTTAACAAATAGCTATGAAAACCAAATTTGTGTTATAACTAAAATCGCTATCAATACTGCACACTATCAAATTGTTAGTGATATGCGAAATTAATTGCTAGTTAAAGTAGATTTAAGAATGGTATAACAATAATTATTATATTTTCGAAGTAAAACCAGAATTTAAATGACCATTTATGTCATATGATTTTTCAGGTTTGTCCTTTGATCGTTCACAACAACATTTCCACAATATAATGATAAACTGCAATACTATCACTGCACATAGAACACCAAACATTATCCAATAATTTCTTTCTGTATAGAGATCTGAAAAAAAAATTTACCAAAGGTAACTTATGAGTTTGAATGTCCCTCTGGTATCTTTCGCCCCTCTTTCAAAACTGTTTCAATAAACTAACTTTATATGCAGAGTCATATAAATTTAACTACTGTATGAAGTTACAAATGTACACATTGTAGATCAATAAAACAATTGTTTTATGAACAATTAGTTGTTTTAGGTATCCGGTAGATAAGAGAACAAGTATTTCAATCGACTATTTAAAATAGAAAACTTAATAGTCTTAATTTTTGTGTCGCAACGACCAACATCTTATTTCTATTTGCATGGAAACGTACTTTCTCCTCAAATCATAGAAAAAATTGTGTATATATGTATTGATACTTCACACACAATCCCTACATGTACTCGATAATACTGAATTTACCGCAATGGTTAAGTCTGAAAATTAAATGAGGGACTGAACATGACCGAATAATTTATTGTTCAGACTTTTCACATTATGATAAGATCAAAATGACGGTTTCAGATCAAAATTGGTTTAGTGTAATAAATGTGAAAAGGGAGGTTCATACGTAGCAGGAGATGGTAACTGTCGATGCACATTGTATCAATTCGTTTTGACTTTTTGTGATTCTAGTACCGGACGTCAATTACTTCTTTTATATTTTCATCTAACAAATTGTTCCTGTTACAGCATTTTGTTATTTCGAATATGCTATTGTTACGTATTAGCTTCAGAGAAAATTGTTTTCGTTATATTTGGTACGTTTTGCTTATATGCAAATAAGACTCACCATTGATATCAAAGTTTCCATCATCTTGTTGTCTTTTTGTAATCGTTGAATCATATTCTTAATAACTATGACAGCGTGGAAAATTGATTGGCGGAGATGGATGATTAGCATAAGATTCATTAATAAGGATTGCCATCCCATCATTAGCATGAAGTTCAATATGACAATGCATAAACCAAACTCCTGGATTATCGGCAACTATACGTGTTACAACATATCCCCCACTTGGCACAATAATAGTATCCTTGCGTACTGGTTTCTTCAATTCTAGCTCCGGTATATTACCATCAACCCATGATGGATTGCTCCATGTGGCATCGTTACAAAAACTTTCGTTCTTGGCTACACCACCTCTGCAATCTATATCTTCATTTTCTCCAATCATTTCTCCAGTTCTGTTGTCGTATTGTGCATATCCCATTTTCAGTACATAAAAAGTATGCCCATGCATATGAATTGGATGTGCCCACCCTTTCCCGCTGCCCATATTGAGAAATACCATTTGGACGGTATCTCCATATTTAAGATTTAATGAATATGTACAAGTGCAAATTTTTTGTTCGTCACAATCACTTTTATCACATGGATAGTCCATATCCTTTGGATTTGTCAGTGCTGTTGTCGTTGGCGAAATGAATCTTCTGCCATTCACAGATCCCGGGGTAAATGTGTCTCCGGGAAAAGCAAAATTTAAGAAAAATTCTTTAAATTTACCTTGAACTACTTTAGGTGCCTGATCGTTGTCGGAATTTTGTTTTAACTGGTCAACAGGTAAACATAATGTAAATTCATTATGTGGATAATATGTGAAAAAGCAATTTACTACCAAACATTTATCGACATCTGTACAGTTACGTGGAGTTGATGACGGTTCGGTATCTGAAGCCCCCTGGTAATGGAGTATAGCTTCAACAGATGTATTACGGTTCGATTCTAGAGTTTTTGCTCTTATCCAATAATTTCCTACTGGTTGATCAGCGACAATGATGACGTCATACCTCTCACCGGCATTAATAATTACAGAATCGGCCATCTGTGGTTCTACATCAAAACCATCAGATGCCACAACAGCTATTTTATGACTGTCTACTGATATGGTCCAAGGATATAGAGCACCAACTCCAATTATTCGAAATCTGTATTTGGTTCCGTTTTTGACAGTAAATATTTCAAGAGGAGCTTCATTGTGAGTATTTTTATGAGGATCCCAGAATCGTCCTTTTCCATTAATCAATCCAGAATGAGCTTTTAGTAAACTGAAAAATTGTCCATCTAAAGATCTTGACACCTGAAATTTCTCACGGTTGTCGTATCCACCAAACACCATTCTAGCGTCTTCCATGTCAGAGTCCCAATCATGATTCCACTCCTGAATTGTTAAGATATGTTCCTCAATTTCAACAGGTTTTCTTTCCCTAATTATAAACGCACCAAACAGTCCTTTTGACCTTTGAGATCCGACATGAGAATGATACCAGTAGGTTCCTTTATGTGATGCTATAAATTTATAAATAAATGTTTGACCTGCGGATATTGGACACTGAGAAAGAAAAGGCACACCATCCATAAAGGGACTTCCTAATTGTGGAAGTCCATGCCAATGAATTGTAACATCTTCAGATTTCAAATGGTTTGTTACATGAATAATAACGGTTTGACCTTCATAGACAATAATTGGAGGACCTGGCATTGTCCCATTTGCTACTACAACCAAACGAGCAGTTTCCCATCCGTCTGCTGTAATTACGTCATCTAATGTTATTTGTGTGGCATCAATCGTGTTAGTGACGTCATATTTATAAAGTTTTCCTTTTTTTGGATAAACGGCTTTTTCTGTAGGATGCATCATGGTCAGGCGGTGTTCTATATTTAGAAATGTTTCACAGACATTGTGCGATATATCACATTCAAAACTTAAAACCTTGTGTACAATTGCACAGAATAAAAGCTGAGTTAAAGTCATCATTCTCTGCATGGTTTCTGAAAATTTCAAGATTTGAATTTTAAACTACTAAATAGTGTATATGTTTCATTGGTTAAAGAAGAAGACTTTTCTTGTTCATAGAATGCATGGTGTTAAACAGTAGATTAAGAATATAGTCAGAGATTTGAAAAATAAAAATTTTCTGATTAAAACATTTTACAACACGTTATAAATTTCATGCATCCGAAGCGTTTTTTTCTGGATTAACCTTCATCAGGAACGCTTAAAGCCGAATATTTGAAAGCCAAGGATGTATAGAACCGAAACGATTGAAGAGCTATATAACCAAAAGGACCTAAAAAAATACACAAATCCATCTACGGTCAACTTTGCCTGAGGGAGTTGAAAACTTAAGTTTCTTTATAATTTCAAAATTTATAAACGGACAATTTTAGAGAAAGGTCACCCGATCCTGCAATATTAGCCACTATTAGTGGGAATCTATTAGTAATATTAGTCTGCTAGTAACACTAACAACAGTATACTTTTATACTGTACAGTATAGATGTTACCTGCTGGTAGTTATAACAAAATATGTTCAATTCGGGGACATCAAAAATCATGACAAGGGTTGTTTTGATTCAAAGAAAATGGCGTGTTGAATGGCACCAACATGATTTTCATAAGGAAAAATTTCCAAATCAGTCACACAATACACGAGAAGAGGTAAAAGAAGGGCTTTGCTGTCTGATCCTTTTCGGGTAAAAAATGATAAACCGTGACTTAGCCGAAATATCGGCGTCACAACTCAGGAAGTAATGTCAACTAGTCAGGCACAGACAGCATTGCCATTGAAAGAAGAAACAAAACAGAAATATCCACATGACATTCAGATTGGTCATAGTAATCAGCTGGTAATGATATTGAGGGTAATGAAATCATTTTTAGAAAATGTAAAACGAGTCGACACAAGTTTTCCCGATGTACTCGGTTTTACCTGAGACTACTACTGAGACTACTATAACACATGTAGTCTCAGGTTTTACATACAGTGCTGTTTGCAACGCCGTATCCTTCAATTTCATTAAAGACATTAACTTGAACGGTGTATAAAATGCTTGCAAAAGTGAGAAAACAACATAAACGCCAACGTGTAAAAAGATTTTATTTAAAAAATTGATTGATTAAACGAGATTACTCCGGAAGAATTCCGATTTTGATTCCGTTTTATATTTTATTTTAGCTCTCTACGTGTGAGGTAGAAAAGGTAAACAAAAACAAAGTTTCTTTTTTTCTCTCTTTTGAAATACGCTATATAAAAAAAAACCAGGCAGCTAATATTAGTACCTATTGCAAGATTGTCATATTAACATAAAAGTGTAATCAAATTCAGTTCTAGAATTAACAAATAAAATTTGTTCGGTGTAGAAAAAAAAACCTTTACCGGGATTGCGGCTTGCCAAACTGAAAACACCATCAAATGGCATCATACTGAAGGTGTGCCTATATTGAAGTAGAAGTAGATAATAACTTTATATAAACCCTTAAGTGATTAATTGTTGTCTACTCTTAAACAGTGATATCTTTAGATAGATGTTTTAGATTTTAAAGTATTTAAAGGTGTTGATGCAGTCTGGGAACAGTATATGTCAATATATATGTTCCTGATGCAGTCTAAATTGACATTAAGCCCAATTTTATCGTCAAGAATGTAAATAATGTACAGTGATATTGGTGGAAGATATTTTTATTCATGTTGTTAAATACACTACTCGGAAGAGGTGTGCCTACATTGGCAGAAGCTATATAACAAGATACAGATTGGCAGAAAATATAAAGATACAGATACATGGACCTGCTAACGCACAAATTCTTCATTAGAGAAGACGTTGAAGAACTAACATGACGGTACCCAAATTGCACCTATTTTGACAGTTTTTTCACCTACGTTTTTTTATGATGCAGACAAAAGTTTCCAATCTGTGTTTATTTTGTAGATGTATACTTGTTTACTATATAGTTACACCTATTTAATTTTGAATCCATATTGAATCATTGAAAAATGAGTATGAACTGACCTCCAAACGATCCAGGATTCCATTACGAGGAGTACCCAAATTGCATCGGCCAGCCGGCCATGCTTAAACTCACATCCTTAAGAATTGAATAACAGCTAGATGTTTTGTTCCATTTCTTCAAATATTTAGAACAATTTGACATTAGTCCATGCTTACTATCCATTTAATAAGAAATGATGACTTTTTGAGAACTTCGCATGACGACGATTCCGTAGATTTACTTTTTCCAGTGAAAGCTTCATCTGTTGATATTTACTGTGAACGTTTTGTGTATATTTAAATATATTCAGCTATGTTAAAAGTCGTGTGTAATGTCAAATTATAAAAATACTAAGTGTTTATTCTTAAAGAAAACTTGTAAGATTTCCACAGCTGTTTTTGTTGAATATGTGCAATTTGTGTACTCAGTGCAATTTGGGCACTGTTACGTTATATCTGTTCTCTACAGAGCTAAGTATTTAGTGACAATCTATTTTCTTATTGGATAATGTATCTGGTCTAAAAAAAAATAGTTTGCCACAAGTATTTAGTGACAATTATCTATTCCTGTATTAGATGATGTATCTGGTGTGATTTTTTTATTATTTTACCACTGAATGAATCACCAATCAAACTATATAAATAGATTGAAGTTAAAAAAAATATCTGGAAAATTAACTGAATCCCAAGACAGAATGAATAATATAATTATAACTTTTTTGTTATGCCCAACTGCTAGTCGAAGGGGCATTAACTTTTACTGTTGTCATGATGTCCATCCATACATATGTCTGTCTGTACAGAAATTGGTTTCCATTTTCTTACTTTATTTGCACTCAATTATTTTTTTCACAGAACACAGATCAATTTATTCGAATTTGAGTGGCATCACTTTGACCGTTCGTGAGTTATGCCCCTTTATTAACGCAAAAATTGCTGAATCTTTCTTTTCTTGTCTCTAACTTTAGTTTGTCCCAACAAATGTTATAAAACTTATACACTACTTATTACCACAAAACACAGATCAAGTTTGAATTCTACTCCCGTCACTGTAACTGTTCTTGAGTTACATGTATTTATGCTCCTTTATTATTAAATGGAAAAAATTGCCAAATCTGTGGTGGATCCGACAAACTGTTGTATACCGATTTTATTTATTTAGATATGATTTACAAACTTCAGAAAAGGTTGAGAAGCATTTTAATTCTAGGGAATTCCAACCTGAAGCAAGTTGTACCAATGGAATTGATGGAAGCCCCCATTAGAACACAGTGAGTGTGCATAACTGGGGTTGCAACTTCACCATCTCATACAGCATCTAGTTCATCAAAGATGACCTATGCTGAAGTGGTGAGACTTCCTGTGCATGCAACAGGTCAGACCAAACTAAAACCACGTTTGATATTAAGGTATGAAAATAATGTCTAATATTGTAAGAATGAATGGAACATATGCTGGAGGAATGTCTGTCACTTTTTGTTTTTATACACCCTACAAACAAAGTTTTGGGAGATACATAAACAAAAATATTATATTTCTCCTATTTCTTAAGAATTATATATATATAAACAGTCACATATTTAAACGGTCGTGTCGTCTGATTTTTTAAACAGAATTTTCAGATTTACTTTACATTTAATAAACAGCATACATGTAGATGTACTCGAACTTAGTTATACACTGCATGAGAAAGGGTCCCTGTATTTTGATTGCAGGATTTGAAAAAGTTGTGCGATACTTATTTATAATAGTCTATATGTTGGAAAGTCATGCACGCTTAAAATTCTTTCATGAGAGTGACACATTGTTCATTTTCTAAAATAAAACAGGATATACTGTAGATACAAGACAAAATGTATACTGTACTGAACAAATCAAGCGTAAGAAAGTAAATCATGTAGACAAATGAAATATACTTGGAAATTGCCCGAACAAATATTGCCTCTACAGCTGCCCCAAAGAGCCCACTCTTAACGAAATTTGCAGAAAGGGTCTTTTACATATATGTACTATAGTTTAGTTACTATCTCCCTTTACGTTTAATATGACGGTGCTGGCTGTGAAATTTAATAATAATTAAACTACAAGCCATCCGCTGTACTGTAGATTCTCTTATTTTCGTGGATTGCGGAAAAACTTTTTCGTGGATATTTGATTTCGTGGTTTTGCAAAAGTCTTCATAAACCCTTATTGAAAATATGTTATTCGTTGAACATTTAATTTCGTGGTTTACCTGTACCCACGAAATCCACGGAAATTGGTATTCAACGAATAATAATGAATCCACAGTATTTCAAAAGGCTATCTGTTTCTTCAGAAAATAACCATACTTTGTGTAGAGATTACATTTTTGTAACATAAAGAATCAACAATACTGTTATACAATTCTATAAGGAATCATCATTCAAAAATGTTAAAGAGGTACACCAAAAAATTAAAAAAGTTTTCCCCGTTTTCAAGCAACTCAACTTTTAACTTAATTGCAATAAAGATTTATAATAAATATAAAAATAGCAGTGCTGGATGGGGGATTTCCTTGTGTGAGTTGACTCAAAGTGCTAGTTTATTCAGGTTACACACATTTTATATTTGTAAATGCAGTTTTTATGTGAAGTGTACATATCACAAAAATAAAAGCTAATATTTTAAAAAATATCATATTTTTTGTTATTGGTTAATAAAGTTTTTTTTTTTTTAATTTTGATTACAGTGTATGGAAATGAAGAAATCAATTGGAGTCCATACATTTAAAAGGAGGAGTGTGTCTTCAGTTGAGATTGGTAGAAAAAAAGAAAAAACAGTTAGCATATTATTTTGAATAGTATGACTACAAATGGCCATTTATAATAGTATATATATATATATATATATAGTCATTAATAAATTTATACCATAAATGATGGCCGGAGAACATAGCAAAACATCAGATAGTATTTTGTACATTTAATGTTTTTTTTTATTTGGCTTATAAATTCAACATTGACATGAATGAAATCAAAATTTTCTTTTTGTTTTATACCAGGTACATGCATGATAAATGTTATATATATTTTCCAAAATAAAGTGTTTATAAAATCTATGATGGAAAATAAATGCTGTATTTTTTATTCATAAATATCAAATGTTAAATAATTAATCCCCAAACAATAAAACTTAAAATTCTTAATTCTTAATTTAGTCTCACAGATGAAGAAGTGGCACTTATGAAACAGGGTTGGTCATTGTTGCATTACTCTTTATTTGTTTATCTTTTGTTTTGCTCCACTATGCATTATTTTATTTGTTAACAATTTTACAAAGGGCTTCTGCAGAAAAAAAATACAAAGGTGTTTGAGTTGGAGCTACATATTTATTTTAAGATACCTACATAAGAATGATAATTATTTTGCCATTAAACCTTAAAATGTGTATTTCTGAACCCATTTGTACTTTTTCCTGGTAAATCTCTTACAAGAATGCATGCTGTTATTGTTTTGAATGTCTAGAAACATGGCCCTATTACACATGATACATCTTCTTTCAAGAGGAATTAAATGATATTTAGATAAGATAGATATGCAAGTTACATGTAAAAAGTAAAGTAACAAAAATACTGAACTCCGAGGAATAATCAAAATGTAAAGTCCGTTATCAAATGGCAAAATCAAAAGCTCAAATACATGAAGCGAATCAGAAAACAACTGTCATATTCCTGACTTGGTACAGGCATTTTTTATGAAGGAAATTATGGATTTAACCTGGTTTTATAGCTTTTTTTAGTAAAACCGTATTTAAAGAATAATAAGATCGTTAGAAACAAGGCAATTGACCTAATCATCATGCACGAAAGTAACTGCACGGTATTATGCTTTGGTCACTATAATGCATGGAGAGATTATGAATTGTGTCTATTTGATACAGCACTGATACAAAAAAAAAACTAAAAAGAGATAATGAATGGCCATTGATATAATTTTGAAGTGGACTCACTTACACATGAGCTGAAAAAAAATTAAAACCTACCAACAATATTACTTAATGATTGTACAACTACTGAAATCCCTTTTCTTTTAGTTTAAGACTGTTTAATTTTTTAGTTACTTTCATTTCATATTTAATATAGTGCATTTTTAATAGATACAGGGTAAAGACAAGTGATCTAGTATTTGGGGTCACCGAGGATGTGGCTGTAGTCCTACCAAACAAAGCTTTACTGGAACATAGTTTTTATCAGGTATTGTTGTATATATGTAAGACTCAGATCGACGTCCAGTCTCTAATTGATGTCTGTTCCTCAAATCGACGTCCAAATCTGACGTCACAATAAAATAACATTCCAAATCGACGACCAATTTTATGTCCCTCTAATCGACGTCTTTTTTGTTGTTCTCAAATCCACGTCCATTTTTTGGCTTCTCTAATTGACGTCCGTTTTATGGACGTGTCGCAGTGAAATCTCATCTTTATCAAAGGTGGGTTGAACCTATAACTCAAAAAAGTTGTTGAAAAATATAACCAAATTATAATACTTTTCAACAATTTGCCGTACGTTTTTATTCTTTCTATTGTTTGAGTCTGTATAGATGTACTGCCCTCTAGATATCTTTTGATTATCTTTGTCTTTGGGTTATTGTCGTACAATGTATACCAACATTTATTTGTTTATATGAACAATAAAAGAAAACGACAACGTAGATCAAGAATATGAAGGTCTTTCACCAAAATATTACTATGCATGTACATGTAAAAGTAATAATGATGTCTGTGATTGTCTTATTGTCATTTTCTGATGTTAAATTTGTCCTTTTATTAGGTGATGAGAAAAGCTCACTTGGTCCTTCGGGCCAGGTGAGCTTTTCTCATCACTTGGCGTTGGTCGTCGTCGTTAACTTTTTACATTTTGAACTTCTTCTAGAGAACCACAGAATGGAATGAAACCAAACATGGCATGAATGTTTCTTATGAGGTGCTGACCAAGTGTTGTTACTTTGAAGCCTATCCATTATCCAAGATGGCCACCAGCGGGGGACTTAGTTTAACATAGGACCCTATGGGAAATACATACAAATGTCTTCTTTTAGAGAACCACTGAATGGAATGAAACCAAACATGGCATGAATGTTCCTTATGAGGTGCTGACCAAGTGTTGCTACTTTGAAGCCGATCCATCATCCAAGATGGCCGCCAGCGGGGGGGGACTTAGTTTAACATAGGACCCTATGGGAAATACATACAAATGTCTTCTTTTAGAGAACCACTGAATGGAATGAAACCAAACATGGCATGAATGTTCCTTATGAGGTGCTGACCAAGTGTTGCTACTTTGAAGCCGATCCATAATCCGAGATGGCCGCCTGCGGGGGACTTAGTTTAACATAGGACCCTATGGGAAATATTTACAAATGTCTTCTTTTAGAGAAACACTGAATGGAATGAAACCAAACATGGCTTGAATGTTCCTTATGAGGTGCTGACCAAGTGTTGATCCATCATCCAAGATGGCCACCAGCGGGGGGACTTAGTTTAACATTGGACCCTATGGGAAATACATACAAATGTCTTCTTTTAAAGAACCACTTCTTTTAGAGAACCACTGAATGGAATGAAACCAAACATGGCATGAATGTTCCTTATGAAGTGCTGACCGAGTGTTGTTACTTTGAAGCCGATCCATGATCCAAGATGGCCACCAGCTGGGAACAGTGTTTAACAAAGGACCCTACGGACAATACATACAAATGTCTTCTTTTAGAGAACCACTGAATGGATTGAAACCAAACATGGCATGAATGTTCCTTATGAGGTGCTGACTAAGTGTTGTTACTTTGAAGTTGATCCTTCATCCACGATGGCCGCCAGTGGGGGGACTTCCTTTGACATAAGACCCTATTTGAAATACATACAAATGCTTCTTCTAGAGGTGCACTGAATGGAATGAAACCAAACATGGCATAAATGTTTCTTATGAGGTGCTGATGAAGTGTTGCTACTTTGTTGCTGATTTACTGTTCAAGATGGCCACCAGGATTTTTTATTAAATTACAGGGCCAATATTAAACCAAATTTGGCCTCACTTATTATTAGGGTATCTGTTATGATTTTAATCTATTTTAACATGATTTCCAAAACCAAAGTAGAATCAGGTGACCGAAACAGGCTCTTGAGAGCTTCTAGTTTTGATACCAATAAAAGAAAACAGTAATTGTTTCGGTAAGCTACTAGTTTTTGATGAAGGTAAATCAAGAAAAGCGCTTCGGACGCATTAAATTTATAACGTGTTGTTTTCATTTTTTTTCACAAAAAGACAAAAAGATACAGATAATATAAACAAAGATCAATTTGAAAATAAATGATTCAATGAAATTTATAGACATCGCGATGAGAGGAGACTCTCATCGATCAGACGTCGTTTTTGTGATTCATAACGTCACATTGAACGTCAATTAGAGGGTTAAAATATTGGACACTGATTTTAGAACGTGACGTCAAATTTGGATGTCGATTAGAGACCGGACGTCAATCTGAGTCTAACATATATTATAATCAAACAAAGACCATACCTAGATATCATTAGTTAAAAACTTTGCCAAAACATTGCATACATGGTCCCTTTTGGGTTTTTAGATATCATACCTTTAAACAGTTACACCTGATGAGTGCTTTGGAAGTGTTAGCCTTTTCTGATTTTTTATAAATTCAATTTCAAAATTCAAGTTCAATTTAAATTGGACCTTCTAAGAATAAAGGAGGACCTTTCAGTCTGTTTGGTCAAAGGTCCTGGACCTTCCATTGCCTAAAGTAAATATGAACCCCTGTAAACTCACTCACTCACTCACTCACAACTAAAAGAGCTAAAATACTTAAAGGACTGTGTTGTTTATGCTTGTTTTTGAGATATAAGCTATTGAAAATTTGCAGGGAAAAATTCTCTCTTGAATTTTGATATCTTTATCATTGACAAATCTTACTTCACAAACACTATTACAAAATGCTAGGATGCTAAAATTACAAGAATTTGATAAGATTTTTACAAATGGCTTCTCTCCGGCATTATAAAGATTTATGAAAAGAAAAATGAGTGAAGTGGCAAAAATAATTTTTGGTTTTCAAATGGACAGAACTAGAGGAATTCCAAAATCTGACAATAATTTTAAAACCTGACTAGCAAACATCTTTAATTAATATGGATTTAATTCTGCTGTATGGTGTTATTTATATTTGAACTTGGGGAAGATTTATATACACTAGACAACAGGTGTTCAAATTGGTGTTGGTCCGAGGTCCGTGACCTTCCATTTACTGGTTTGGACCTTCCCACCTGTAGTTAGTTACACCCGATGTACTTTAATATATTTGCAGTTTAAAAAAATTACAAAAACATATTGAGCAAAAATATGAAAATTTAGTATTAAAATGATCTTAATATATGCAACTATACTGAAAGGGAACTTATGTGGTTACTTACATTCTTTACCCTCGTGACGGGTTGTCATACAAGATACCAGGAAACTGGAGAATATAATATTTGACCATAACTAGTAAACAGAATGAGTCTGTTTGGTTTTTTATGAATTGAATTATCAATAAAAATTGGCTCTTCAAAAAATAATGGAGGACCTTTAAGTATAATTGGTCAAAGGTCAGGCTGGACCTTCTTTTGCCTAAAGTGAATTTGAACCCGTGGAATAAAAGGACATACAGGTATCAACAAGCATTTAATTCTTTTTTTATGCCCGCCGTAGTGGAGGGGTCATTAAGTTTTACCCTTGTCCGTCGATACGTCCCAAAGTTAATTGGCTTCTGTTCTCTAACTTTAGTTTGCCTCAACCAAATAGTTCACTTTTACCGTTCTTCAGTTATGTCCCTTTATAACTTTATATGATGTGCAAGCGGGGGCATCATCTGTGTCCATCTGTGTCCCATGGACACATTCCCCATTTATTTTTAAATACATCATATATGTAGTGTGAGTGGTCAATTTCAATATAATTTGCTTTTTCTTTTTATTAGATACCAAATAAAGAAAATGCTGTTGAGGAACAGGGGAGTTTCTGTGATGAGAATGATACACAAAGAGCATTTGGTAGTGACTATAATAGATGATTTTTTTTTTTAATTGGATACAGTAAATAACAATATTTTTGTATACATTATTGTCACCATTTTCAATCTGACAACAGACTTGAATTTTAAATTAAGTTTAAAGAGGCATTACATGTATTTACATTTGCACAAACAAATATGTTGATAGGTTTGATTTCTTTCAAGAAAAATGCTATTTCTGCATATACTGCCTCTTTAAAAGTCTTACTTTTGAATATAATTTATGTATAAATATATAAAAAAATCTTAAACATGGTGATTTGTGTTTGTAAAAAGTTCTTTTTATATTATATAAATTATTGCAGTTAATCATTCACTATTAATGTACTTTTAACATGTTTAAGCAATCTTTAGTTGTTGAAATTGTATTTTTTTCAAGATTTTTACCGTTTTTCATTTATCTGACTAAGTCAATCATTGACAAGTTAAAGAGTGTGTATATAATGCAACTGAAAACTCTTTATCTCTGTTCTGTATCTAATAATATAAATATATATCTATGTGTATATTGTTTCAGAGTGTAATGAAGTTGAGAGTAGTATTTTAACCAAAAGAACATCTGCCTTAACAACAGTGAAGGTTTTAGTGAGCAGGTGTTATTTGGTGATGTTGAAAGAAATCCAGGACCTACAATGGTATCAATCACCCAAAAAAAATGCTATGTTTAAGACTGAAATTTATTTAGGATTATTTGATCTGAAAAAAATACTTTTAATTTGAGACATATAAACTTAACTCATTGGCACTCATACCACAACTTCTTATATCTATTAACAACTTCATTAAAACCCGTTTAATAATTCAGGCGTATTGGATAATGTTTAAATTCATCTTTACCATAATTTTCATGGAAATTTTATGTTTTATTGACCAATGGAAAATCTGGTTAGTACTCTGGTGAAGTAAGGCAGACTGGACATGCTGCTACAAACAGTTTCCATGGGATTAATTAAACATTTGATCAATTCAGAAATGGAATTATTTAAAGACCTGAACAAAAAATCAACTTTTACTGTCTTCTCAAATTATTTTTTTTTTTAGTTTTTTTTTCCCTTAAATTTCAAAATAAGAAGAGACCTTACTGGTACAGTTTTAATTTTCCAGATCCAAAATCAAAAAAAATAAATAATTCTGATATAATTGTTACACTGTACTGTATGCTAATTCTATTGAAGATTATTGTTTAAAACCTCCTGCCATGATATAATCTTGTACTTTATCCATCTTATTATACATCCCACAAAGTTTTTGAGGTGATTAACAGGAATCACCCTGTCTGTCTATCCGCCCATAAAAACAAAACAAATTGTCCTATCAAATCAATGTAATTATCTGCCCTTGATTTTAATAGTTTTTTTTTTCTAAAAAATTTAGATACGCTTAATCACACTTAATTTTTTGATAGTTTGATCTACCTTTCAAGCTAAAGATGTTCCAGTCGTATAATGAATTATACTTGATAAAATATTTTTAAACCAAAAAAGGTATTTTTTGCAACATGTCCAAACTGGAAGATCAGAAACGAAGACACCATTCCAAATTGAGTTTAATATATCAAAAGAAAAGCCAGGTCATCTTGTGGAAATGTGATCAAAACAGTTTATTTTGTCATTTTGTTTATTTTCTTTGGTTACATCTTCTGACATCAGACTTGGACTTCTCTTGAACTGAATTTTAATGTGCGTATTGTTATGCGTTTACTTTTCTACATTGGCTAGAGGTATAGGGGGAGGGTTGAGATCTCATAAACATGTTTAACCCCGCCGCATTTTTGCGCCTGTCCCAAGTCAGGATCCTCTAGCCTTTGTTAGTCTTGTATTATTTTTAATTTTAGTTTCTTGTGTACAATTTGGAGTTTAGTATGGCGTTCATTATCACTGAACTAGTATATATATTTGTTTAGGGGCCAGCTGAAGGACGCCTCCGGGTGCGGGAATTTCTCGCTGCATTGAAGACCTGTTGGTGACCTTCTGCTGTTGTCTGTTCTATGGTCGGATTGTTGTCTCTTTGACACATTCCCCATTTCCATTCTCAATTTTAAACTTATTTTTTTTCATTTAGAATGAATGTTTATTTCTATAATTGAACCAGATTTTGTGAATTTTACATGAAAGCCATTTTATTTTAGGTTTATCAAGACTAATCTTAGTGCTTGCCATACAAGTGTCAAAGAGTGAAGGGCAAGAACAATTTTAAAGAACAGAGAAGACTTGTTTTATTGCACTTAGTTTTGAGTTTTTTGTCGAGCCTTCGACTTTAGTCGAAAAAGCGAGACATAGCGATCCTACATTCCGTCGGCGTCGTCGTCGGCGGCGTCCACAAATATTTACTCTGTGGTTAAAGTTTTTGAAATTTTAATAACTTTCTTAAACTATCCTGGATTTCTACCAAACTTGGACAGAAGCTTGTTTATGATCATAAGATAGTATCCAGAAGTAAATTTTGTAAAAATAAAATTCCATTTTTTCCGTATTTTACTTATAAATGGACTTAGTTTTTCTGCCGGGAAATATTACATTCACTCTGTGGTTAAAGTTTTTAAAATTTTAATAACTTTCTTAAACTATCCTGGGTTTGTACCAAACTTGGACAGAAGCTTGTTTATGATCATAAGATAGTATCCAGAAGTAAACTTTGTAAAAAAAAAAATCCATTTTTTCCTTATTTTATTTTTAAATGGACTTAGATTTTCTGCCAGGAAACAACACATTCACTCTTTGGTTAAAGTTTTTAAAATTTTAATAACTTTCTTATTCTATTTTGGATTTGTACCAAACTTGGACAGAAGCTTGTTTATGATCAAATGCTAGTATCTAGAAGGAAATTTTGTTTTCTTTCAGTTAACATTACATACAGTCTGCAGTTAAAGTTTTTAAACATTTATTAGATTCATAAACTATCCTGGATTTTTACCAAACTTGGACAGAAGCTTCTTACAATCAAAAGATAGTATCAAGTGGAATATTTTTATTGATTTACTTCCTCATTTTTGTTGAGCCTGCGATTAACAGAAAAAGTAGGCGAGACACTGGGTTCCGCGGAACCCTTACGAATTTTTGTTTTATATTTTACCACTATGATAGAGTAATGTAACATTCAGGAAATGTATTGTTCTGATATATCTGTTTTATAATTTCTCCTTTTCATATGCCCGTTTACGGGACGTAATATGGTATACCATTGACCGTCTGTCCGTCCGTCTGTCCGTCCGTCCGTCGTCAACATGTCGGACATTAACTCAAAAATGCTTTAACCAATATGCATGAAACTTTGGTGAATTGTTTATATCTATTTACGTGAGCTCTCTTTCATTTTTTATAAATTTTGGATTTACCGTTTCCGAGTTTTGTGGGTTTTATTCATTAAAAAAGAGGGAATTTTCCAGTTTTTGGACAATAACTCGAAATCAATTTCACCAATTTGTAAGAAACTTTGGTGAATTGTTTATTTCTATCGACATGAGCTCCCTTTTGATTTTTATAAATTTTAGACTAGATGTTTCTGATTTATGGGGTTTTATTCATTACAAAAAGGGGGATTTTCCAGTTTTCGGACAATAACTCAAAAATGCTTTCAGCATTTTTTATGAATCTTTGGTAAATTGTTTATATCTATAGTTGTAAGCTCCCATTTGATTATTACAAATTTAAGATTTTACGTTTCCAAGTTATAAGATTTTATTCATAAAAAAGGGGTGATTTTCAAGTTTTTGGACAATATCCTTAAACTGCTTAGAGCAGTTTTCATTAAACTTTGATGACTGATTTATATCTATTAAGATAACCTCCCTTTAGGTTTTTATAAATTTCTGATATAACATTGATAAGTTATTGTTTGTTTATAGTCTGACAACAGATTTACTAAGTATTGTGCAACAGCACAGTGTATTGCACAACAGCAAGAAATCTTTAATTGAATATAAATTTAATTCATATAACCAATTTCAAGTTCTTTGACTACATTTATTCAGAAACCTATAATATGTCAAATATTTAATTACAATCCAAATTCAGACCTGTATCAAGCTTGAATATTGTGTCTATTTTTGCCCCAGCTGTTCAGGGTTGGACCTCTGTGGGCGTATCCAGCTGCGCTCAGCGAAGCAGTTTATTAGAAATGTGTTAGATGTTTTTTTTTATACCTTTTCCTACTTGAGTACTATTGACAACTACTTTCTATAATTTTTTTATTTCCTAATATTAAGATGTCATTCTTGAATACCTTGTAGGTATGAACTGGGTTTTTTTCTTCTTGATATGTGTAGTATAAATCCCCCCCCCCCCCCAATTATGTTTAGTTTTGAAAAAAATATATATACCATAAGGACTGTCCACTATGGATGCCTCTCTAAATAAAGATAAGAGAATCTTGGCATACATTAAATACAAATTTCTAAAAAAAAAAAAATTATGAAGACTCCATACAAAAAAACTTTGGAAAGTGTCACACCAGTGATTCTTTTTGTATAATTCAGGTTAGTTCTAAATCTCATTTTTCATTGGGGATTTTCTTCATTGTATAGAGGATGCATTTATCATCTAGTTTAATATACCTCACAATGTGTAAATGTTGTAAATACAGAAAAACATACATAATGATTATGATATGCTAATACTTCATTATTGCAAATAATTTTACTTTAAATACTTCATTATTACAAATAATTTTACTTTAAATTATGATGAATATTTAAACTGGAATTGACTATTCACATTTTATGCTCGTTGATTGTTGACATTATGTTTTGAAAAACAGAAAGAAGTCAAAGGACTAAGAGTTACAAGATAGAAAGTCAAAAAGTCACAATTTATTAATTTACAATTATTTAAATGTATAAAAGGAAATGCATTAAATATTGTCTCTTTCTAAGATAAATTGCTTGTGCATTATTAATGTTTGAAAATGGTAAATTTGTTAATAATTTGTTTGGTCTATAAATTATAATAGATTAAAATGTCAATTGAATTAGTCTTCCTATTAAAAAAAAAATCTCTCAAAACCACATAGTGACCTCTTGCTCTATATTTTTTAATTGGTTACTTTTTTGTCTATTTTGTTTTATACCATAATATTATGCATGATAAATATAAATTGTGCTTTATGCATGTCACTAATGTATAGATAATTTTCTTTTAATGTTGTGTAAACTTAATTCAGGTATTTATGGTAATGTATTCATTTACCTATATACAAATTTAGAAAAATTAAAAGTTTTATAATAAAGAACCAAACTAATTAAACATTTTTTGATTGATTTTTTATCCAATATGTATATTAAAAGGAAAGCTGTTCCAATAATAGATATAAATATAACTTGCATCATATAGAAAATAAAACAGCAAAAGATAGAAAACAAGAGAGAAAATTGCTTCAACAGGGTTGTACTGTCATATTCAAATTGACATTTCCTGTTTACAGAAGGAATGCAATATAAAGCCTGCATTGGACTTAGTATTGTAGCTAAGCATGTGTGAAATGATTTTTTATTAAATGATGACTACTATTTTAACTAAGTAAAACTAGATCAGGATACAATCTGTGTGAATTATGTGGGTTTCTTAGAAAGGGTCTACATGTATACATGTATGTATTGTCTGTGATTCTTAGATATTCTCAGTATGTTATGTCTAGTTCCAAGATCTAGTCTGAATGTATTTTTCCAATATTCAAACATACAGCGTGTATGCTGTTTCTGTGGTTCTTAGATACAGTCTATGCAATATGTAATGGTTTTAAATTATGATACATGGCTTGATCATGTTACAGGATCATTTTTCTTAAAACACCTTTCATTTCATTTTTTGTCTGTATAAAGCTTTATATTTCAAAAGTTAGAAGACCTAGATGCTGCAGATACCATATGTTACGAAATTTCCCTCTGTCAAATGTCCATTGTCCTCAGCCTCATTTTCATGGTTCAGCATCTGCTTAAAGAAAAACAATGTTTGTCATGTGAATTTCTTACATACTATGAGTAATAGGATAACTTTATTTGGTATATGGGTTCCTTGCAATGTCTACATTTCAGTCAGACAGGGTTCTTCTGACCTTGACCTCATTTTATGTTAAAGTTATGTGATTAGATCCATTTCTAAAATACTGGAAGCATTAGGTCAATTATAGGTTGTGTATGTAATGATTGTAAGGGGTACATGTCAGTCCGGCAGGTTTCATCTGACCTTGATCTAATTTTCATGATTCACTGGTCAATGTTAAGTTTTTAGCTCACTGTCGTCGTCGTCCGTCTGGTGTAAACTATTTCAAACATCTTCTCCTTTGAAACTACTGAACCAATTCCTACCAAACTTTAGCTGAATGATCCTTAGGGTATCTAGAATAAAGTTTGTGTTTTATTTTCTGTTTCGTCTAAAAACATGGCCGCCATGGCTAAAAATAGAACATAGGGGTAAAATGCAGTTTTTGGCTTCTATCTCAAAAACCAAAGCATTTAGAGCAAATCTGACATGGGGTAAAAGTGTTCATTAGGTAAAGTTCTATCAGCCTCGTAATTTTCAGATGAATCTGATAACCCATTGTTGGGTTGCTGCCACTAAATTGGTAATTTTAAGGAAATTTTGCAGTTTTTGGTTATTATTTTGAATATTATTAATGATAAAGATAAACTTAACAGCAAAAATGTTCAGCAAAGTAAGATCTACAAATAAGTTGATATGACCAAAATTGTCAATTGACCCCTTAAGGAGTTATTGCATTTTAAGGAAAATGTTTCACAATTTGTTTATCATGTTATCTAACTTTAAAAAATCTTCTTCTCTGAAACTACTAAACCAATTCCAACCAAACTTAAGCTGAATGATTCTTAGGGTATCTATAATAAAGTTCATGTTTTATTTTCTGTTTCGTCAAAAAACATGGCCGCCACCGCCATGGCTAAAATTGAACATAGGGGTAAAATGCAGTTTTAAGCTCACCTGGCCCAAAGGGCCAAGTGAGCTTTTCTCATCACTTGGCGTCCGTCGTCCGTAAACTTTTACAAAAATCTTCTCCTCTGAAACTACTGGGCCAAATTTAACCAAACTTGGCCACAATCATCATTAGGGTATCTAGTTTAAAAAATGTGTCCGGTGACCCGGCCAACCAACCAAGATGGCCACCATGGCTAAAAATAGAACATAGGGGTAAAATGTAGATTTTGGCTTACCGGTATATCTATGAAACCAAAGCATTGAGAGCAAATCTGACATGGGGTAAAAATGTTTATCAGGTCAAGATCTATCTGCCCTGAAATTTTCAGATGAATTGGACTACCCGTTGATGGGTTGCTGCCCCTGAATTAGTAATTTTAAGGAAATTTTGCCATATTTGGTTATTATCTTGAATATTATTATAGATAGAGATAAACTGTAAACAGCAATAATGTTCAGCAAAGTAAGTTCTACAAATAAGTCAACATGACCAAAATGGTCAGTTGACCCCTTAAGGAGTTATTGCCCTTTTATAGTCAATTTTTAACAATTTTTCGTAAATTTTTGTTATCTTTTACAAAAATCTTCTCTGAAACTACTAAGATGAATTTAACCAAAGTTGTAAACAATCATCATAAGTGTATGTAGTTTAAAAATTAAAAATGGTCAATTGACCCCTTAAGGAGTTATTGCCCTTTATAATCAATTTTTAACAATTTTCATAAATTTTGTAAATTTTTACAAAATAATTTCCACTGAAACTACTGGGCCAAGTTCATTATAGATAGAGATAATTGTAAGCATCAAGAATGTTCAGTAAAGTAAGATCTACAAACACATCACCATCACCAAAACACAATTTTGTCATGAATCCATCTGTGTCCTTTGTTTAATTTGCACATAGACCAAGGTGAGCGACACAGGCTCTTTAGAGCCTCTAGTTGGCTTATATCTCAAACACTAAAGCATTTAGAGCAAATCTGATAGGAAGTAAAATTGTTCATTAGGTCAAGTTCTATCAGCCATGAAATTTTCAGATGAATCTAACAACCCATTGTTGGGTTGCTGCCACTGAATTGGTAATTTTAAGGAAATTTTGAAGTTTTTAGTTATTATCTTGAATATTATTACCGGTAATAATAAAGATAAACTGTAAACAGCAAAAATGTTCAGCAAAATAAGATCTACAAAAAAGTTTAATGACCAAAATTTTCAATTGACCCCTTTAGGAGTTACTGCCCTTTAAAGACAATTTTTCTGAATTTGTTCATCTAGTTTGCTTGCTTTAAAACTGCTGAATCAATTTCAGCAAAACATAGGCTGAATGAGTTTCAGAATATCTAGTATAATTTTTTTATTTTATTTCCTTGTACGTCAAGAAACATATGACTAAAATGGTACATAGGGGGCAAAATGCATTTTTTTCGCTTTTGAAGATATGACAGATACAAAGAACATTTAGATGGAATTTTTACTACACTCATTGATATATATTGAAAAGCAAAATTATCATTGTGGAAAGATTTTAAGCAAAAAAAAACAGGTGAGCGATTCAGGTTCTTGAGAGCCTCTTGTTTGTGTTTTAGTCTTTTTTTCAAGTACTACATAAGCAATAGATCAACTATATTTGGTATATGGAATTATTGTAAGGTGTGCATGTGTGTCTGACAGGATTTATCTGAAATGTGAATTGTCTGTGATACTTGTAGTGAAACCTTAATCTATAAGACTCATAAAATCAAAGGTCAGTAAAGCAGGTGAGACATTTCAGTGTGTGCACTCTTGTGTGTTTTTAGAAGTTAAATATGATGTTTTGCCTTTGAAATGTACTTTTACTGTACCTATACAAGCAGAAAAAACAAAACCATTAGTCTAATTTAGTTAAATATAGATTATGAAAGATATAAGGCAAATGTACATGAAACAATCAGTAAAATATAGATAATGAAAGATATAAGGCATGTACACGAGACAATGAGTTATGAAATATAGATGATAAAATATGTAAGGCAAATTGAAATAATTTACCCACAGCAAACCTTGGTATGCATTGTCTGAGTTTCTTATATACATTCTGTAAGTATTGTCTGTGGTTCCTATATACAGCCTGTAAGTAGTGTCTGTGGTACTTAGATACAGTTTGAAAGTATTGTCAGTGGTACTTGGATACAGTCTGAAAGTATTGTCTGTGGTTTCTAGATTCAGTCTGTAAGTTTTGTCTGTGGTTCTTAGATAAAGTCAGTAAGTATTTTCTGTGGTTCCTAGATAGAGTCTGTAAGTATTGTCTGTGGTTTTAAGATACAGTCTGTTAGTATTGTCTGTTGTACTTAGATACAGTCTGTAAGTATTGACTAAGGTTCTTACATACAGTCTGTCATTATTGTCTGTGGTTCTTAGATACAGTCTGTAAGTATTGTCTGTGATTCTTAGATTAAGTCTGTAAGTATTATCTGTGGTTTTTAGATACAACTAGTAAGTATTGTCTGTGGTTCTTACAAAAAGTCTGTTAGTATTGTCTGAGGTACTTAGATACAGTCTGTAAGTATTGTCTTTGGTTCTTACATACAGTCTGTCAGTATTGTCTGTGATTCTTAGATACAGTCTGTAAGTATTGTCTGTGGTTTTTGTCGAGCCTGCGACTTTTGTCGCAGAAAGCTCGACATAGGGATAGTGATCCGGCGGCCGCGGCGTTAGCTAACTTCTTAGAAGCTTTATATTTTAGAAGGTGGAAGACCTGGATGCTTCATACTTTGTATATAGATGCCTCATGTTACAAAGTTTCCGTCGGTCACATGTCCAATGTCCTTGACCTCATTTTCATGGTTCAGTGACTACTTGAAAAAAAAGTTTAGATTTTTAGTAATGTTAAATTCTCTCTTATTATAAGTAATAGGATAACTATATTTTGTATGTGCGTACCTTGCAAGGTCCTCATGCCTGTCAGACAGTTTTCACTTGACCTCGACCTCATTTCATGGATCAGTGAACAAGGTTAAGTTTTGGTGGTCAAGTCCATATCTCGGATACTATAAGCAATAGGTCTAGTATATTCGGTGTATGGAAGGACTGTAAGGTGTACATGTCCAACTGGCAGGTGTCATCTGACCTTGACCTCATTTGCATGGTTCAGTGGCTATAATTAAGTTTTTGTGTTTTGGTCTGTTTTTCTTAAAATATATGCAATAGGTCTACTATATTTGGTGTATGGAATAATTGTAAGATGTA